TGTAGGTTCCATCCTTGTTGACTGTGAACATAGAAGGCTCTTCTATCCGGGATACTTTTCCATTCTCTAACCAGGTCAAGCGAAGGCTCGAAGGGTAGAACTTATGCACCTGGCAGGTGACATTTATCAGATTCCATACCATTGGTGGCTGCTGGCTGATCTCCACAATGGGTGAAACTGAAACAGCAGAAACAGAAGCTGAGACTTCAGAGCCTAAGCACAGAAAGACCCCAGAGGAGAGGTTGAAGTATGGAGGAACCAGCCCTGTTCCAAGATTGACGTGGGAACAGGATGATTATTTGTGCCAGAGTAGAACCCCTAAATAAAGCTCCTAACACATAGATGCACAAGGTGAGTGTGGTAATAAATGAAATCAATAAGCACAACTCCCAGGTGCAATGGGAAAGCAATAACAACAGTAAAATGAAAATATCAGGAATGAGGGGCTAAGTTCATAATCAGTACAGCTGTAATTTTTTCTGTTTAAATAAATAGTTTTCTTTATATGCTGACCATAGTCTATGACTCCCCTAAATCTCCATATGGTATGCATGAATGCTTGCTGGGAACTATGGACCAAACCATTCTGAACAGCTATGAGCTTGAGCTGGATTCAGCGTCATTTACCTTGGATGGAGTCAGACAAGTTGGCAGTCCCACGGAGAGGGCCTCCTTTCAAGGTGACATGGGACACCTCACAGATGATCTGAGAGTGGACGTCCCAAGGTCTCAGCACCACCTGGGCTGTGCTGGAGATATTGTAGGAGACGCTTACTCTTTTAGGGTGCACAGTAGTTAGGAAGCGAGGGAGCTCATTTCCATCTTTGAACCACTTAAGTGTGATGTTCCGAGGAAAGAAGCCGTGAGACTTGCATGTGAAGTTCACTGTCTGCTCAGGAATAACTCTGACTGCAGGGCCCAAGACCACAGGAGGAGAGGGTTTAGCTACAAAGAGGCATGTAGACAATGATGTGATTGTGATGCCACCACTGTTGACATAACATTGTGAGGACCCTTCTTAGATACTATCTTATTGTTTATTGTGGTGCTTGGGATCAAGACTAGAGCCTCAGACACACTAAGCTCTACTCTAAGGTCATAGCTGTGTCCCAGACACAGACCTTATTAACTGTTTATCCTCCTTGTTTTACTATTTGCTTTTTCTTTTCTTTTCTTTCCTTCTTTTGTTTGGGGGGGCGCAAGGTTTGTCCTGGTCCTTCTGTGGTATGCCTTGTGTTTTTGCCTCTACAGTTTAGCAAAGATCCCTGGAAGTAAAGGAGGAAGAGCAAGTCTAGGGAGAATTCTTAGCCTTGGCAAAGGAAGGCAATTATCAATGTATTTTGTATTTTCTATCATCTGCTCCTGCTGGCTTCCTCTGGAAACCTAGCAAATCTAGGGAAAACATTTGTAGATTTACATCTATAGTAACCCTGGAAATAAATGACATCACAGAGGTGCTTCCCATATTTGTTTGCTTTCTTTCCTTAACTACATGTTATTAGGTCTCATCTGTGCCAAGTCTGAATTTAACATTGAGAGCTCAGTAGTCTGCATCTGTAAATGGGCTTCAGTTGGACTTGATTTGAGGTTGAAAACAGTGCTTACCCTCTGCAGAAGAAGCTAAAGGTGGTTCATTTCCTAACTGTTAATCATAAGAAATACAGGTGTGAGCCTGTTGAGCAGACAGCAACATTCCCTGGTTGAAAGCACATGTATGGGTGGAGTAGTGAGAGGGAGGCAGCATGTTGTGTAGATGTCATGTGCTGAAGTTATCATGTGTAACAGGCTGCATATGTGACTCCTTCTCAAATGTGCTTCAAACCAGAAGTGTAAACCATGAGTGTTATTTGAAGTCAAGGTATCCAAATACGAGTATAGCTGATATCCCCACAGGTTTGAGGGACCAATCACTATTTATCAGGAGTTTCTGGCCATCTTGATAGTTCCCAGATTCCAGTGACCAAATCTTTGGTGGGATTAATATCAGAGTGCACATGGGTGGACAATTACACAGAACAAATGACAAAGCTCATTTCACCCCAACATGTGTGAGCAGGTGTGAGCCTGTTGAATTTGAATTTTGATCTTTATCTAATGAGCATCAGTGTCCTCTTCCATAAGAACTAAAAAAGAAATGTCACCATAGAAAGATGAAAATGAAGGTAGAAACCCATGCTTAAGTGTTTGCTTATAATTCTATATATCACTGCAGTTGTTACTATATGTGAGATCATATATTTATTCTTTGCTGCAGCAAAATCCATAAAGACTCAAGATAGCATGTCTCTAGATTGTTCTTGCCCCTCCCATGAAATACCTAATTTTAAGGAGCAGAAGCCTTTATACCAGTGGTTCTCAACCTTCCCAATGCTGCAACCCTCATGGGGTGGTAACCCCCAAACACAAAATTATTTTTGTGGTTGCTTCATAAGTGTAATTTTGCTACTGCTATAAATCATAATATAAATATCTGATATGAGACCTTTGTGAAAGTGTTCAACCAGGAGAGGGGTCCCAGCCCACAGCTTGAAAAATAACTTTATACTCTGACATCCTCCTCTTTCTTAGTGATCTTCAAAGTTGGCCAGTGCCTTTTATGGCACAATCAAGACCACAAACACTGCCTCCAGAGGAGCTAATTATAGAGAGCAGATGACCACGAGAAGTTTGACGAACACAGCTCAGTGATGTACTGTGTCATTAAGGTACAGTTCTGAGTAAAATAGAGAAATGTCTGGCCTCAGAAATCATTCTCCTGCAGTCCTGTACAATGTAGGGAAGTTGTGCCCTGAGACTGAAGTTGACAGGGCTCTGCTTTGATGGGATCTTAGGGACCCTGGGGTCACCTCTCTGAGAAATGTCACTGGCACATTACTCGGGCTTTAGGATATTGTGTGCAGCAGGCTGGGCCCTGCTACTGTAAAGCATAAGGGGTTGTCATGCCTCAGCTTGGTGGCCGAAGAGCTCTATCAAGGGAATAATCACAAATGTCTCCTGTTGTTTCTGAAAATGTATCTCATTGTATTTTAAACCCAAGCTGTGTATTAGAACATTCTGGAGTCTTTTGATATTTCAGATGACAAAATGCACATTCAGACCTTAAAGGAACATGGATCTGGGATTTATCTCAGTTTCCCAAGTTATTCAAAAGATAGAAGAGCATCCAGGTTGAGCACCATCAACCCCCACCCACACTTAATTGATAACTAAGGCCTTGAGAAGGAAAGTGAAAATCCAAGGTCACGTGGATTCTGAGTAGCAAAGCTCACAAGATGAAATATTTCCTCCATGTCAGCCATTTCTCTAAGTGTGTTATATGACTTCACTCCTTCAGTTTAGAAAGTCTACACACTGTGCTAGCAGGAGAAGGTGCCATGTGAGGGAGGCCCCTGTGTGGTGTCAGGATGAAGTCACTCCTCTTGTCTCCCTTTGTTGATAGGTTGTCAGAAAACTTGCTATGCCACACCCAGGTAGGCAAATGATAACATCCTTATAACTATTTCACCCTCAAATGCAGCAGTCCTCCTTCAGATGGCATGTGTTTTGGGATATTAGTTTAAGATGTGTTACATTCATTTATGATATGGAATATTTGTTTAATTATGCAAAGATGTGTGGCATTCTTTTATGTTGAATGTGTTTAACTCTGTAAAGCTGCATTACTTTGCCTATCTAAAACACCTGATTGGTCTAATAAAGAGATGAACAGCCAATAACTAGGCAGAAGAGAGAAATAGGCATGGCTAGCAGGCAGAGAGACTAAATAGGAGGGGAAATCTAGGCTAAAGAGAAGAGGAGCAGTGAGAAAAGGAGAAGGAGAGGAAGACAGCAGGAGCCAGCCACACAGCCAGCCATGGAGTAAGAAGAAAGATAACATAAAATAAAAAAAATCAAAAAGCCGAGAGGCAAAACATAGTTAAAGAGAAATGGGATAACTTAAGTTAGAAAAGTTGGGTAGAAACAAGCCAAGCTAAGGCCAAGCATTCATAAGTAAGAATAAGTCTCTCTGTATTTATTTGGGAGCTGGGTGTCAGGACCCCAATAGTAAAAACCAACTACAGGTATGCGCCATGTTGCCAGGACTGTGGACATACAAGTTCATCTGCTGTAGCTCTGCTTTAATGACTACAAATTGAAACAAATGAAACATTTCTGAGCTTGGATATGAATTAGTGTGCCTCTAGCTGCTGGACTTTGATGTTTTATATACACAGGGGAATAGTTCTCAGTTCTAATATGGAGTGAGGGTATGGCTAATATTGAGGTACCTTTTCCACTGAATGTGATGAACATCTTGAAACTTTATAGAGCTGATGAAGAATGGAAATGCTAGCTGAAATTGAGAAAATCTGACTCAGCATCTCTTATGTACCAGGCTCTTGTGTGGAGATGGTGTCTCTTTCTGGGACAGCAAGAAACTGGCCTGGAGTCAAATATGGGTTCACGGCCAGATCCCAGCACTAACTGGCTATGAGACCATTGACAGGGCACCGGCAAACTAGATTTACATCTCAAACAGGGCTGGAATGGATAGTCTGACTGTTCTTCATGGTGTAAAATTGCCAGAAACAAGATTAAGAAATAAGACTTCAGGCCTCTTACAGAAAGTTCAAAGTCAATGTCCTGATGCCTATGTTGGTGAATTGAGGTCTATGTGGAGACCACCTCCAGGACTTAAGTCTACATTGCCCAGAACCTTCAGTGCCTGTGCAAGTAGGAAAGAAAATGTTTTCAGGCAGATCCAAGACAAAGACCTACCTTGGTGCGAGCATTTAAACAAACCAATGGTGACAGATTCTACAATGAATATGGGCATATGTGAAAAGATCTTAGTGTGCTGTGGATGAAGAGAAAATTAGAAAAGCACACTGTGCTCTGGCCTTGCCACTCTCTGCCTTGATGTGCTTTTCCTCTTATGGGGAGGAGACACACACCTTGGGTAAAGAGCTCCTGCTAGGCTGCTTCTTGCCATCTCATTTGACATCTAGAGTGGAACCTGGTGTACACTGTGCCCAGGTTGTTCAGGTAGAAAGAGAAGACTTAATCGAGTGAGATAATACACTCTGGAGGTATAGGCCAGGTTTGTCCCTGTCACTGAACATGGCATCAGCTATCTTTATGTAGCCACTAGATTGAGACAGATTAAGAAAGACAAGGGTATAGATTTACTCCCATTTACCAGAAGTGGCACCTCTAACAAATCATGTCCTCTCTGCCCCTCTGCTTCTTTGGCCCACAGTTGGGGTAAAGTCATCCTATGTACATGAGGATCACTTACATTCTTGGTTCTTCCTTGTTGCTCACAGAATCTTGGGCACATTTTGACCTGTTGGAGATATCGGGGATGAGGAGGACAACGCAGTACTTACCAAGCACATACAGCACTGTGCCTCCCCCAGACCGAAGCTCCTTGTCAGAGTCTGTTCTGTCGATCTTCACACAGTAGTAGGTACCAGCGTCAGCAGGTGTGACATTACTGATGCAGATGGAAAAGTCCAGGTTGTTTCTCTTTGTGGGATCTTTAACATATGTGACTCTGGGGAACTTCTCTCCTGTGAAACTATAGATTAGGTGCCGACTCTGCCCTGTACCCCTGAACCACTTAATGGGCCCTACAGGGGACAGGGAGGTCACAGTGCAGTTCAGAATGGCTGGGTCTCCAGCAGAGACAGAAACTGATTTCTCAGGCTGAATCACCTTCAGCTCCTTCTGTGTATCTGCTCCTGCAGGAAACATCAGTCAGTGCTCATCCTCATGGGAACCCAGAGGATCCTCTAGTTTGTGATCAAACACTGTTATGTACTAGAGCTCAGCATGATGTGATCACAGATCCACTCTCTTGGGCGCCTTAACAAGAGAATGTAACAGATGAGGAAATGAATCACAGAGACAATGAGAACTTGGCAGTATTTTGATTGAAGTCCCAGTTCTGTTTGGAATTCTCATACTTCAATCAGTATCTGGTTTTCATTTTCTGTGCACATAGCATGTGACACCTCTTATATAATAGTATTAGATGTGATTGCATACTTTTTTAGACCAGTGATATGTAAACATAAGTGCTAGAATAGTTGGTGTACATTTGATCACAAGATTCTAGGTCAGGCCCTTAGCTCACAATGAGGTTGCATTATTATCTGGAGTGATAATGACTCAAATACTTCCCAATATGCAATAACGTGCACCTTAATTTTTAAAATATATATTATAATCACATTAATTACCTAATTAATTTTATGTGTATAGGTATTTTGCTTTTATGTATGTCAGTGCACCAAATGCATGCCTACTGGTCAAGGAAGCTTGAAGAGGGTGTCACCACCATTGGAATTATAGTTATGTATAGTTACAAGTCACCATATGGGTGCTCAGAATTGAACCTGGGCCCCATGGAAGAGTAGCAAGTGGTCTTAATCCCTGAACCATCTCTCCAACCCCAGCATTATAGTAACCTTAAGGATGATGTAATAGATTCCTATAAGGCTAGTGGTCTGACACAACAGAAACATTTTATTTCACACTTTGGAGGTCAGAAGGTCTAGTTTACTGTAATAAGGCAACAATCACAGGGTCACAGCACCCCACCCTCCAGGAGGCCCTGTTTGTTTCCTTGCACATGGTGTGGATACCTGGCTGTGCTCTCCCTTGTCATCTGTCTTTCATCACAGCCCCTATTTGCTCAGTGACTCTAAGTCCCGTACCTCTGACACTTCTGATGCTTCTTGCCTGGACTTGATCTGCTAGAGCACTGTATTGTGCTCACTCTACTACACTACTGGACCAAGACTGTACAACACTTTGTTTGAGATATGAAAAAAGCAAAAGGAAAAGTGTGAAAAAGCACAAAAGAAGGTGAAGAATCTGAATAGCAAAAATAATGCCAAGTGAAGAGAAACCATGAGAAGGAACCAAACAGCATCGAGGAGTTGAGATGTATATAACTTAGTCCAATGGGCAGGGTCCACAGAGGATTTAGCAAGTTATAAAAAATTTCTAAAATCATGGAAAAGGATACCATACCATCAGTCAGTCAGCACTGCAAGGGCAGGGGTACAATAAAGAGAAGAACTTGAAGAATTTGGAGTGTACTGCCAAGATTATTGGGGAAAAGAACTGTTGTCTAACACCTTCCTGGTTTATTAAAATATAAGAACTGTAAATCTAACAAACTGAGCTAATTCAATGTGAGATAAACTCAGAGAGGCCCACACCAGCACACTCTAGAATCCAACAAACAAAGAGGAGTAACAGAGAATGCTGAGAGCAGCCTGGAGCACGACTCATCTCATCCTGCTAATGATGTGAACACAGCTCTTATCAGAAATTTCAAGCCGGGCGGTGGTGGCCCACGCCTTTAATCCCAGCACTTGGGAGGCAGAGGCAGGCGATCTCTGTGAGTTCGAGGCCAGCTTGGGCTACCAAGTGAGTTCCAGGAAAGGCGCAAAGCTACACAGAGAAACCCTGTCTCGAAAAACAAAAAACAAAAAACAAAAAACAGAAATTTCAACATCCAGGAGGCAATGAGATAGTGTGTGTGTTCCTGGTTTCCCCCTCCCAAAAATAATACATCCAAAATTGAAGTAAAACCAAGGATTCCACACATGACAACACTATAAGATCACAACAAGAGAGAAAACATGATGTTCCTAGTTAAAACTCTTTCTTACAATGATACCTGCTATGCTGGAAATATTAATGGACTCCCTTGGGTTGAAATAAAGAATGCCAGAGAATAAGGCCCAGTTTAAAAGACAATACAACTCTGGTTCTATGAGGAATTTTAAAATTTCATAAAGCATCCTGAGCTACCAGCTCCCACTCAGCTGTTTGGTAATCATAGCTCTAATCTTCCATCTTGGTAGTTTTCATTAATAGCCTTAGGGAAGTTCATATATCTGGAGCTACTAGGAAGGATGGGGGATGGGCTCACGCCTCACAGTCACTGTTAGGTCTCAAACATGACTATCTGTTGTGGAAAAACTGCTTCCCTAGATAACTTAGGCCAAAAGCAAAAAGCAACTTTGTGAAATTAAAGCCTGGTGTAGTGAGATAATGCCAGATCTAGCAAACATGTGTATAGTCTTAGAAAACTTACTGATTAAAAAATCAAATATGGGAAAAATAATATGAATGGGTTAGATTATACTAGCCTATATAAGTAATTTATATTTTGGCATGGCTATGTACACCAATTATATAAATAATTTTTTTAAGTTCTATAATTTGTTCCAATTGGAAATCCTAAATTTAGAGACTAAAGATATTTTTAGAAAAATACTATAAAAATTAAAAAGACCTAATTAGCTTCTGTACTATGATAAGTCAAGAATTTGAAAAATGTAGCAACTCTTAGAATTTCAATGACTGATTTAATATAGTATTTTAAAACATAATTGTAACTTTAAATTTTATTAAGCAATGAGACTTATAATAATGAGACAGAAACAAAACAGAAAGTGTAGAAACAGTATGTATGCCTTGCTTCTCCAGTAGGCTTGCTTAAACATAACACATTTTTAGTAGCCATTCCTCTGCAACATTTCTTATTAGCATAGATGCTTTAAATTATTAATAGAAACTGAAATGAAATAATGTTTTTGACATTTACAAAGTAGTTTAATAAATTTAATTTTATAAAGGTAAAATGGGGAGGTGTGAAATTCAATGTCATGTGCCCAGGACCCACCTTATCCCTCACAAAGAACTAAAGCAGTAGCCAGCTGCACTTTGAGGTAACCAACTATGGGAGAGGGAAGGAATCCAGAGAAGGATTACAGCCTGCTTTTTTGGGATGAGAGAAAACAGAAAACTGAGCTACGTATCCTGAAAACTGTGCAATCTGCTTTGTGGAGTGGATCTCAGCTAACTCTGTTTGCATGGATGTGGGTGATCATAGCTAGTGGAAGCATCCAGTCAGTACAGGCTTTAGCTGATTTTGAGTGACCATCTGGAATCTGCACAGAAGCTTTGTCTGGGAGAAACTCCATCCGTCTTATCTGTTCCATTCCCACAGCCCAGAATGCAATAGCTATGTACTATCTAAGCAAGGAAAGTGTTTCTCACTTCACACAGGTAGGGTTGTGGAAGGTCAGGCAGTACTTTACATCCTTATCTATGAGTCCACAGAAATCCCAGCACACTAGCACAGGGGTTCCAGCCTCACCATTCAACGTGTCGAGCAGAACAACAGTGACAGCAACACTCAAGCCTGTCATGTGCCACAATGATGCCGGAGAAAGTGTTTCAGCAAAGAGGAGAACAGAGCATGGTACATAAGAGTAAGGGTCAAGGATGTTGGATCTCTTCTCAATAGCCTCTAGTTCATAGTCAGTATTCAATAAATTCTCCCCTATGTATGATTTGCTCAGTGTGACATCTTCCCATGTCACTGAACCCTAATTTAAATTGATAATTTATGTAGAAATTGAAACTTAGTTTCCCATGTGAATGAGCTTCCCAAAGAAAAGCTGTTTGCATGTAAGGAGGAAGCTGAGGATCCCAGGATCAGAGAACCATAGACCTTGTCCTCACTTCATCAGGCTAAAGTTCAAGGGGTAGATCAAACTCTCTGGGAGGAGTGATTGCTAATCCCATGACCTCAGTCAGACAGCCTGAGTTCAAACCACAGCTCTAGACATTGCCCTTGTTTGTGTTTCTGTTTCCTATTTGTGTCTGTGGTGATGTGACAAGAACATTAACCTGACATATAGGTGCCATATGAAATAGAACCATGAAGTACTTTCTACAGTATCTGGGACATGGTGAGTGCTCACAACATTGAATAGTAATTTCTCAGTAGATTTGCTGAGTCATGGATCATTCACTGACACTGGATGATATGCATAGAGTCATGGAGCTGGGCGCAGATTATGGAGCTGCAGCTAGCTGCAGATACAGGTGTGGACCAGGAGATAATTGTAGCTTGCTAAATTAGCTTCCTATTGATTTGAAAAAGACCTTGAACCAGCAGTTCAAAGAAGTAAATATTTCCTCTGTCTCCATGTTTCAGAGTACAGGGATCAGAGGGTTGACTGGCTCCATTACTGTGGTCTCATGTGAGGGGCAGAGCCTGCTCATGAGGACAGTGTGTAATGGAACAATGTTGCTCATCTCCACCTTAACTTCTAAATATTCAATCATCTCTCTCAAAGTAGTGTCTTTATCTGGGAATGATGGCTTTACCACATCAACTTTAGTGGCTATTTCAGACTCAAAGTATAATATTTCTGCTAGACACCAATCCAGTACCCAAGCAAACCCTAAGAGAAATCAAATAGGAACAGCAGAAGCTGCACTATATATCACAGTTTAGTACTTTTCACCCACAGCTGTCCTGTGGCTTTGGAGCCTGTAGGAAGACAGAAACCATGGTAGGGAGACAGCAGTAAAGCAAAGCAGGATAAATGAACAGAGCAGGGACACACAGTCTTCTTCATTGGGATATCCCCCTGAAATATTAATGTCTCTCGGTGTTGTCTTTGTTCAGATAACATCATAACTGAGCAAGTCATATTTACATATTTAGAAATGTGTGTATGTGCACACATGGTAGCACACGCCTTTAATTCCAGCACTGGGGAGGCAGAGCCAGGTGGATCTCTGTGAGTTTGAGGCCAGCCTGGGCTACAGAGTGAGCTCCAGGACAGGCACCAAACTACACAGAAAAACCTTGTCTTGAAAAAACAAACAAAAGAAAGTATGAAGAAGTGTGTGTGTGTATGTGTGTGTGTGTGTGTGTGTGTGTGTGTGTGTGTGTGTGTGTGTGAAAGAGAGACAGAGACAGAAAGAGAGAGAGGGAGAGAGAGAGAGAGATAGACTGAGAAAGATAGAAATGTGTGTATATATAAGAAAGAAAGAGAGAGAACTTTCAAGAAACAGAGGTCATATATTTGGGAAAGAGACAGTATGAAAATGATGTAATATATTAAAATATTTAAAATATGAAAACCTTCAGGAAGTGCCAAAATCATCAGAAGGACTCATCTCTTACTGTAGTCTGAGGTGCAGTTCGAGTACAATGGGGACATTGTAAAAGGTAGACGTCTGTGAGGTTAGATGACATGACACCTGAGCCAAAGTGGGAGCCTGAGGACTACAAACATAGACCTCACACCAGGGAGTTTTCTCCATGGCCAAGGAAGGAACTGAGGACAAACAACCTTTCAGAGTCATTAACAGGGACCAGAGTGTCAATAATCCTGCTTGCCACAAGTAGAAGGAAAATAAAGCTCGCTGGAGAAGATCAAGAAGATCAGGGAAGTGTCGAGACCTATTATACATGATTTTCTTTCGCTGTATATGTCAAAGCCATAATTCCAGTACCTCATAATGTGACTGTATTTGGAACAGGGTCTTTAAAGAAGTATGGGTCAATAGAGATCATTAAGCCAATCTGACTTGTTTCATTTCAAAACATAGAGATGGTCCACAGAGACATGCTGAGGTAGTGTCATGTATGAACACAGAAGGAGAATGTACAATTTACATCAGAAGCATCCTGGAAGAAAATAGCTCAGTGGACACCTCAACCCTGGGCTTCCAGCCTCCAGAACTGTGAGGAAATGAGTGTCTATGGTTTGGGCCACCAGGCTGTGGTACCCTGTCATGTCAACCCTAGCAAGAGAACACAGGAACCTTGAAGAAAAAGTAGTAGTACAGCTTCTCAAAGAAGCAGCACTCCGTGGGAAGACTGAGGTCAGAAGAGGAAGGAACTGGAGGACACAGGACAGATGAGGAAACTGACTGGGCAGGAATGATGGCTGAGCTTTGGCAGAGACACCTCACCTCTAGCCACATCACTGGCCTGCATGTAAGCCTCAGTGTCTCAGGAAGTGAGCAAAGAGTGCAGTGCTGGGAGCCAAGTAGTCCCATCAGCTGCTTTGGAACTGGCATTGATAGCATCAGTGTTACATTGATTTAAGAGGGATTCTGCTGAAAAGAATTTTGTTATCCAAAATATTACAAATTACTGTTTTTGAAGCATTATCTGATAGGATGCTGCTAGCCACCCATTGTAACTGATGGACTCTCAGAGCATAGCATAGGACTCTGTTTCTAGGCCCCCAGACAGTGTTCTGACCTTCTCTCCTGTGGCAGTTCTTCTGCTTACCTGGAGTCCTTGAGTTCCATTGGCAGGGGGAGACAGAGGCAGAGAGGTGACTGTACTCCTGGGATCTACTCACCTGTGAGTCTTAGCAGTAGGGTCAGCAGCAGGACACTGTGAGGAGTGTGTGGCCAGGTGTCAAGTTCAAGCATGTTGAGAGCTAAGGAGTTAGCTCAGTGTCTGTGCTGGTGAGATCCCAGGTTCTGGTCTGCAGAGAAAAGAGGTACTGTGCCTTATTCTGAATAGAGGATGTGTCTGTTATGTTGAAACAGGAACCATACTGTAAGTTCTTTTGAAATAGAGGGACAGTGTTGCAGGCAGCTGTGGGGGTGGAGTTATTTATCATACATTTTTAGAGGGACTCAGATATTCCTAGGAAAAGTAATGCTTTCTCCTTCCCGGGACCCTACACTGGATCCACTTGGTCTCAGAACATCTTGTCTTAATATATCACCACCTGGGATCTAGGAAAAAAACGTTTTTCCAAATACCTACTTCTAAGACCCTTCCTTTTGATTTGAGACCCATTCTCTCCAGTCTTACTTGAGGATTCTCACTTAAGCACGTATGATGCTTGTGAGAGCAGCTCAGTTCCTGAAGTTAAAAAAAAAAAAAGCTATCCTCTTGGAATGACCTTTGGAAATCCTTCATTGATATCCTGGTAAACATAGTCCAAGGGAAGCTTAGGAGTCTATTTGCCTAAAAAAAAAATCTAGCAGAATGTGTTCATATTATTTGTCATCTTGTTACAGGGGAAACAGTCCTCCAGAAACATCAGAGAGAGAGATTGTTTAGATTTAGAATGTCTCTTTCACTATCTGTTAGGGATTGTATTTAGTTAATAGATTTGAGAAAAACACATCTTAATTTTAGTATCCATTTCAGAGTGAAAGTATAACATTTGTGCTAAACAATGTCCCAGTATTGGAGCAAATTCCTAAGATAAATCAATCAGTAATAGCAGATGCTACACAGAAATTTTGGACAGAATAATTTCCTGAGCAAATATTTTTTGAATTCTTAAATGGAGAGGGCCAAATGAACACTAGGATGCATGCACTAATTCATTTCCCCTGGTTCTTGTCTATGGATATAATGTGACTCTGCCTCAAGATCTGGCCACCTTGAATTCACTGCAATGATGAATTGTAAGTTGGAGATGTGAGCCAAATAAACCCTTGCTTTAAAAAGTTTTCTTTGCAGGGCATTTTATCATAACATAGGAACTTCTTCCAGAGTGCAAGTGGGAACACTTTAATAAGTATCTGCTTAATGGAGCATGAAAGGGAGTATTATTATATTGAGAAAAGGACAGTAAGGATTGTTTCCTAAGTCAGGGAGAACAGGGTGACACTATGATGCCAATAAATGTTCTAGATCTAAAGTACATATTCTATTTCCTGCTGTGTACAGCTAGGAACTGGGGAGAGAGAAACGGTAAGGGGCCTCACTGACCACAGATGTGTACCTAGGAAACAAAGGAAGGAACCAAATACTCAAGACCCTCTTTTCTCCTCAATAATCCAGGTATAAGAAACATTTGCATTATTTCATATAATCTACCATCTAAGTACCTTACTAGGTAGCTGCTCCTACCATCGCTGCCTTAAAGTGTGGGCTGTGAGGTCAGCAGGACACTTGTACATGGGTGATCTGGGACTAAACACCAGGTCATGTAATTCCAAAGCCCATGCTATCTCTTCCTTTCTATAACTGGTGAAGATGATCCTGCTTCCCTTTTAAAGATGAGGAAATTAAGCTGAGAATCCTTAAGTGAGGATAATTTACCAAAGAGAAGTAAGGCCCAATTCAGGCTGGAGGACATACTCTCTCTCTCTCTCTCTCTCTCTCTCTCTCTCTCTCTCTCTCTCTCTCTCTCCACATAGTTGCACAGGTGGAATGGAGATTGTATACTCAGGGTCCTGGGACAGTGTATGTAGTCTGAAAGTTCAGCCAGCACCTTAGACAGCAGAGCGAAAGGGGACTTGGGGAGTTCCCATTTCCTGCATCCAGCCTCATGCCTATAATTTAATGTTATCAATCTTGACTTCACTGAACATGTAAACTACACAACTGTCTGACAAGTACTTCTTGCACCAACTACTGAACTCTATTACCACCTGGCAGGCTGAAATGTGCTGAAGTGAGAGTCGCCTGGCACTGACTCTCAAGGCTGCAGGTTGTCTGCATCCCTAGACAATGATGAGCACTGGTGGAGATAAAGAGAGAGGAGAGGAGGCAGTGATATTTTATTCTTGGCACTGACCATGGTGTTATGAAGGGTGGGCTGCAAAAGTGTCATTCAAAGCTCAGAAACAGCCCTGCTCTCATTCTCCACACCTCTCTCTCTCTCTCTCTCTCTCTCTCTCTCTCTCTCTCTCTTTCTCTCTCTCTCGTCTGATAACACCTCTCTCCTCTTATTCTTCCAGGCTTGATGGATTGAGAGTATATGACAGGCTTGCTGACATGGCTAGGACCAGGGAAGGTAGGTTCCCAGGTCATTGTCCCCTATTCCAATGGGCTTCCTTTTTTTCTATAAAACACCCATGCTGAGAAGAAGGGACAACAGACTGCTTTTTATTTTCCCTTCCTTTGTGAAAGAATCTGTTGTCCATGAAATCAAATATCAAATAAAGGTGAAATAACATTGACCAAAAAAAAAAAAAGAGAGAATTTGTTTGCTGTGGTGTTTCAGTGGGCGTGATGACTAATCTTGGTGTGAAGCTGACACCTGAGAACAGGCACCTCAACTGAATAATCGCTTGCTTCAGCTTGGCTCATGGTCACATCTGTGGAGTCTTTTCTCCATTGCTAACTAAGGAGGATCCAATCCACTATAAGTAATGTTCTGTAGTAATAGAGTACTAATCAAATGATTAGTGTACACTATTGGGCTACTGTTAAGTGAAAACTTAAAATCTGTAGTACTAACAGTGGGCCTAGATTCTAGCTAGTAAATGAAATATTACAGGTAATTGGAATATCATCAAGATATGAATTAAGTTGCAAAGCTGTTCCCTGTGGTCCCCCAGAAGGTAGAAAATTACCCACTGAGAATTTCAGTTTAAATATTTGTTTTTACATGAAACACAGAATTATCTCCCAAAAACAAGTGTATAATTTAGTGAGCTATCTTGTCTTTTGGCAAATACCATTACTTTTTGTTAACGTTGTAGAAAAGTGCTGTTGCCTGCCAAATCTCAGTGGGCTCATCCATGTGTCATACTTTGTCAAAACAATTGTCAGTAGATGTTGTATGGATGGAAGGAGAATTAATAACACAAGACAATGGTATAAAAAGACTAAGAAGCCAGTGTACACCATAAACTTAGAGTCATGCTCAAGCAGTCTTGCTTTAATTTGTTGAATTCTAGTCAATTTGTAGACATACAATAAAGCAATACATTCTTATTATTGTATGCCACTGAATGTTATGTCAGTTTTATAAGCTGATAACTAAGAAACACTCTGTAGTGAAATTGATACATCCCATACACAGTCTCTGACTTCGATTTTAAGTCATCATCACCATCACTGTTCTAGTCACTGGATGCCAATGCCCCTCAAATTTCTACTTATATCCCCAGTTCATGTCTCAAGACTACAGATTCACATAGAACCTCCTACCTAATGACTTCACTTAAAATTTGAAATGTTAGTTAATAAAATATCTTCAAAAGCAAACTCTATAACTTCATGCAAAGTTGTTCAAGTGGAACTGTTTTTACTCACTTAATTTATTACACCAACAAGCAAGGCTGAAAATCTTTTCAAGACAATCATAAGTTGTTCCTCTGTTTTGCTACATGTTCTTTCTCACAAACACAAGAGGGTTCTTGGAAAGGTTGCACTAAGACAGAGTCCAGCAAGAAAAGAGTTTCAGATGATTTCTGCTACAAGAGAACATTGTTGACAAGTAGATTGCTTAGTACATGAGAGCTGATTCTCAGTTCTGCTTCTATAGCCATGAGATTTTTCTGCTTCTAGAATACTGTTAATGACAAATGCACTGTGGTCTCACTCTGATGAAACCTAATTTGTCTTTAGCATCACTTCCTCATCCCATGATTCTACTGTATCACAGTGCTTACTTTATTTTAAAGACACAGGTATTGGCATATAATAGTGTCAACATAGTGTCTAAAATACTAATATTTTGAATAAAACTAATGGTATTGCTCTTGTATTCCAAAAGAATCAGACCATATTTATAAAGACTTCATGATTGATACATGAACAGATTAAAAAGCAACTCTTGAGGACTGGGAACTTTAATCTGGAAGAGACACACATAAGACTAAGAGCTATGAGATGTCAACAAATATCTGAAGGTATAACTGAAGAAGAAGTATTAGATGTTATTTACATTGCAGCTTCATGTTAGATAGATCTAGGACAAAGGTAGCACTGCTCAAAGATAGAGCAAGCACCTTAAGCAAGTACTCACTCGCTCATCTCGGGAAGTGTGCAAGCAAAGGTGGATGTGCTGTTCACATAGAAGTATAAGCTTTCTTTTCATTCTGATATCAACCACATGTGTGGTTCTTTACACTAATACTTTCAATATCTGTAATGTTGGTGATAACACAAGAAGCTCTGATCTTTAATCTATACAAAATAACTTCTATAGAATTAAGCTCAAGAATATTTTTGCAAGATACTTTGTTGAAAACTCACAAGAAGGGGAGTATTAATTAAGGTGCTGTGTCAATGAAGTGGAGTTTCCAAGTTTGTGTGTGTGTGTTGGGGAGAATGTTGCTTCTCAGACCTATATGGACAACTTTCTTAGGAAATAATATAGCATAAACAGATGTATCTATCCAGATAGCTTGCATATATTACTGATTAAAATCTAGTGGTGCTTAACTAAAGAATTTTCTTTAGCATGCAACAAAAGGGAATCTACTTTAATTGGGGAAGCCAGGCATATTAGTCAGGGCTCCCAAGAAAAAGAGAAACAATGGGTGTGTACTGTAATATTTTTCTTAATTATAGGAAATTAGCCTGTCAAGAATTCATATTTGATGAACCTTCTCCTTCTACTTCGTGTAATAAATCAACTGCTTTACATTTGGAAGTTGAGTTGCCATTAATGGGATGAGATGCAGTCATCATCTTCATCAAGGCTATACAACAGGATTTATGTTAGCCTCTATGTGCTGCTACCTTGTTTGTGTTCTGGTGTACCCTTTTTACAATGAGAACTGTCTTGTTGAGATACATTTGCTTTGTTTGTATGATCCTTTGTGCCACACAGAATGTATTTTTTTTTAACAGTTACACTGAAGAAAGGCACGATTGCTTTCTAGAAAATTACTCACCAGATTATAAAGGCTGGAAAGTCCTACTACTGTGGGCTGGCTGAAGATGCAGGAAGAATTCCAAAGCCATTTGCTGATGCTTCCCTCCTGATGAGGTAGGAGATGCTATTTCCTTCGATTGAGACAAAATGATCCCCTGATAGGATGAAGCTAGACCATTCTAGAGAGAAGAATTGGTTTACTCAAAATTCACCCATTTAAAATAATTCCTTTCTCTCTCTCTCTCTCTCTCTCTCTCTCTCTCTCTCTCTCTCTCTCTCTC